ATGAATTAATACTGTGAATTAACATTCACAAAAACGTAGATATATTTAATTATTATTCTTCTGTTATTATCTCGTTTGATCGAGAAAAAGGAAAGATAAGAGTTTTAATGTGATTGATGAAGAATAAAAATTATCGATACTTCAATTTTTTTTTATAATTGATGTAAAATGTATATCCAATAATTAATAATATTTAACAAAGAAAATGAAGTTTCGTTACTTTATATAATATAATAAAGAGTTCACGTAAACCTTTTTATAAATCCTTTTTTAAAATATCATGTATTGTATCATGGATCCATGAAAATAGCATAAAAGGCAAGTATTTTCTGCTTCTTTTTTCGTGTACATAGAAAGTTTCTTGAAAAGCGGCACGTAACGTCATTCACTTTTTCCCCTTTTTTTTTTTTTTATTTTTTATTATTTTTACAGTGTCAACTACCGTGATAATTCCTTTAATTTATACACTATCCTTCTTTTATGAATTTAACGAGATTTTAGTTTAACATTTGAATAATAAATTTAATTAGCGTGTTTCAATAATTGAAAAATTTTTATCGATAAAATAAGAAGCGATAATAAACGGATTTCCAGTTTTATATTTCTCTCTAAAACCCAATTCAGTGACTTGTTTTAGTTCCTTTACTAGTTATTTTTCGTTACTTACGTTGGCTACCTTTACTTACTTAACTATTGAAATTATCTTATTATCATCCGTCGATAAGAAACGTCGTTCTTTTTACAAATAAATAATTAAAAAAAGAAAAAAAAAACAATAATGAATTCGGTTTAAAAAGAAGATAAAATCACAAATTGCAAATGAAAGAATAAAGTTTCGTGTGATTTAACGAAAGATTTTCTCGATAAAGACACGTATAAGAACGGAATCGAAATAGAGAGAGAGAGAGAGAGGAAGAGGTTATCTACGATGTAATCGTGAGGGTTTAATTAATGGAAGCTCCGGGAACAAAAGTGATGGCAATCGACCATTATTTCCAGACTTCAATGGAAAATTGCGCTTGCAATCGAACGAAGTCTTGCACACAAGAAAATAATGCGTACGGATGAATAACAGCCGGAGGAACAAGTGTAATAAAACGGAAGGGGGTAAAATTCTTTGTTGCTATTCGTGATTTGTAACAGGAAACGAGAACTATCTTCCACGATAACATTCGATCGAATTTTTTGAAATGCTTGTGATTACAATAATTTTGTTTAGTTAAAAATATATTGAACGACAGGAAATATATATTTTATCTATATATATATATATATGTCTTTCTAAAAGTTAATAAAAATTATCCTTTCACAATTATTCTTCATCTATTCGTTTGAAAGATCATTTTATTCATTTTTTTAAATAATAAATGTATAAAGCTGAAGAAATTATTATAGTTGGAAATATAAAAATATATAACAATATATAAGGATTAAAAAGAAACTTTGAAACACTTCGCCTCGTTTTAGAAATTATCTATTTTTTTTTTCACTCATTCATTACCAAAACATGATCATTCTGATCTTTTCAATCATAAAATCCATAATCCTCGTCCTGATCGCGCTTTTCCTGCGGCCTCGCAATCAGCACCGATCGTTTAGAAATCGTTAAAAAACGATACTCCAAATATCCATCCTGGTATCTTTTAATCCTGGCCGCGGTATCGATGGACTTTTCAGCTTTAACGCGTCGCGATTTCACTCGGTGTAATCCTTTGACCAACAATCCGCTTGAATTATTCGGAATTACAGGACGGACGAGCCGCGTTACACGGTCCAGAGAAAATCGAAACAAGCTTCGCGATGTGTTGTGACCACGCACGTGCGTTTGGAAATTCGTTAGAAGCTAGAGAAATATAGGGTATTTCGAATGTTGTATGATTCGATGTTGTTGCAACAAGGATCTCGTTAAAACGAGAATGATCCACTGATTAAGAGCAAACTCGTTTCATTAGTAATAATAATTGGATGATATGTGAGTAATCAATAATTATATATGTAAACGATATTCTGATTTCAATCTTCAATCGAAATTGGGAAAAATTGTATTTGAAAATAAGAATCATTTGAAATAAAATAGAAAATGAATTTTTAAAGTGGAATTATTGAAGGGGTAAATTATTTTCCGTTTATTCGCTCAGCATTTCCTTTCATGTTTCAATGGTAAGTATTAAAAAGAATTAAAGAATTAAAGAAAGTATTTTTTAGAATAAATGAAAAAAATTCAATGATGTTCGAAACTTTGATCAATGTATATCGATGATTGCCTCGTTTAACATAATTCATTTGCACGATTTTCATCAATAAACAATTTATTTCGAACATATTCAGCTAGCTTTTAAAGCGATTTTAAGAAATAAAAATTTCTCATACTCATAAGTAAAACGTCAAAAATAATTGAATATCAATATTCAAATAATTTATTGATACTACGATTTAAAATAAATAAAATCGAAAACAAGACAAATTTCAATTTCGAATAATTATTCGATTAATAAGCTCGTTAATTTCAATGCTGTAACTCGAACCTCCTTGATTTCCTCCGAAATGAATTCTGCAAATTCGCCAAATTAACCGACGCGAGCTCGGTTGCAAAATGCAGGACGAGCACGGCGCAACAGCGACGATAAGGCGAAGCTAATTCAAAGATAATGCAAATGGAACGTCGCTGAAGCGAGCATACGTTTTTGCACATTTGCAACATCGTTGTGAAGGAAGCAAGATTCGCGTTGCGAGGATAAACCGTTCTTCGAAATTCAGACGAGATCTCATACAGAGGAGGGGGGATATCCTTCTGAAAGTTAGCAGCTTTTAAGCCAGTCGCCTCGAAGGAAGAAGAAAGAAAAAGTTGAGGAGAACAAGTTGAAGAAATATGTAAATTAGATAATTCGAAAAACCGCAAAGAGGAATGGCGGCCTAGGAAATCTCGTTCATCGAGAAACCGATTTCGATCTTTTGGAATTTTTCAACCAGGTAAATCGTAGCAAGATCACGAGGATCCATGAACGAGGAGAAGGGTGTAAGAGGGTTATCGGGATTTTGGAGAAATTCCAAAAGTTTCGACCTCGATGAGCCCTCCCCCCTCCTCGCGAGTCAACGAGTCCCGCGCTCAACCGGAAGTTATGTTTCTTTGAATCTTGAAACTAATAGGACAATACGTTTCTTCGTTCGAAGTTAACTTTTACGAAGTTGTAACGACTTGTTACTGATTGTTGCAACATTTATCTGGCGATGAAATTTATTATTGGAAATTATCTCATTCGGAAATATTTCAACTTGCGATCCAGCGAGTTGTTATATTTTGATAATTGAGAAAGGCTTGTATTTTATTTTACAAAAATTGTAAAAAACTATATTTAAATAATTGTCGTAAAATATCCATCTATGCATGATACAAGCATAAATGTGCAGCAACAGATGAAAGGCGAATTCAAAAATAGGTCAGGTTACCTTCGTCTTGATGCTCTTTGATGGACGAGTTAGTCGTGAAAAAAAAAAAAAGGAAAAAAAAAAAGGAAGTGAAAAGAGAAGAGTGGCTCGTCTCAAATGGGGAAAATTGTTTGCTATTTCGGAACTCTGGTTCTTTGAGATACAATTGCCAAGATCCTTCTATCGGGTTTCAGTCCCTCCCAGGAGGCCGTGGTCCTCGACCATCCGTCGCTTTCAACCGAATTCGTGTATGTGGGACAATTTATAGCGGCGATATTCTCCGCCAACCTGCGGGAGAATGAAGTCTAAAAGAAAAAAAATCTGGTGCAGATTGGGGAAAAAAATTCCTCTCTCCTGTCATCTCGATCGTTAATTAAACTGATTCGTCCGCTGCTGCGAAAATGTGTTGATAGTATCGTTGTACGGAGAGAATTAATTAAACGCGCGAATACGCGTTGCTGGTTAATTATGATTAAATTTAAATAGAAAATTCGTATATATATATATATATACATAGTATCGTCGATATTTTAACATTTGGAATAGGATACTTATAAGCAATTATTTTCTCTCCTTGTCGTATAATTTAATTAATTCGTATTTTTATATATTAATATTTTCGATTTTCTGGAAACTTTAAATATAGAAAACTAAATCTTTGTAAAGAGTGATTAATTGTTAGAAAGGAATAGGGGGGTTGACTTCGACGAAAATAATTTAATTTTTTTTTTTTTTTTAGTAGTACAAAGTGAAAAGAAATAATATAAAAAAGATAAGAGAGAGAGAGAGAGAGAGAGAGAGAGAGAGAACTTAAAAAAGGAAGAAACTATAAAAAACTGTGCACGCAGGAAAGAACTTTCTTAGTCCCCCTTCGATATTCACATCATCATCGATACATGTTGCCTTTTTTTCGAGTATGAGAAAGAATGAGGAGAAGAGAAGTGGAAGATAAAGGAAGCGAAATAGCCCTTTCTTCTCGAGTCATTAAAAGGGAAACTCTTATGTAAGTTCACGAATCTCTTATCTCGTTGCAATTTTCATTTTTATAGAACATAAATATCTTCTTGTCTTAAATACGATATAGTGGTACATTCTAGTAGATCAATAGTAGTTCAATAAAAAATAAGAAAAAAAAAAATAAATCTTTTTTTTCGACTTATAATTATATATAATTATAGAATTTATTGCTAATATAATGGTTCATCGTGAAACAGTTTATATATATATATATATTTCTATAGTGCGAAAAAAAGGAACAAGAGACGAAGATGTGTAATTATTGGAAAAAATTTCAAAGCAAAAGAGTCTGGAATTTGATGTTTCTAGACTCGTGCTGCGTTCATTTTCTCGGCTTATTTTACTGGTAGAAACTGAATGAGAACTAGGGAGGAATTAAAAGATCAAGGAACGTAAAGGCTGCTTTAATTTTTCATTTTTAATAGAGCAAGACGAGTAATAGTATGAGTGGTGGATAATAAATGGAGAAAAATAAAATCGATATAAAAATTTTTCTTTTATAATATCAGAGCTCTGATTAACTCGTTAATGACTTCCGGGAATTAATTTTATTCCAGATCGAGAGCAAAATGTCGGTCGAAGTGAAGGGGGGTCGACCAACAATGCCAACAATTCCACAATCCAAGAGACCAACGATTTTCGTTTATCCCACAGGTGAGATTGCTTAAATCTTTCATGGAAAACAAAATTCATTATTCTTCATGAGTAAAGTGAAATTTAAAATATTTAAAATTCGTGCATTTATATTTCCAATTATGATGTAATTGTATTTCATCATTATTCAAACGGAATAAAAATGAAATTTTACCAGAAAATGTTTAGAATTGAGTGAAATATTGTAAATTATAATAAAGGAATTTTTTTAAGAAATTAAAAGATTTAAAAAATTCTATTTCTCCCTCAATATTTCTTCCTTAGCAAGTCCGTCTTATTGGTTGTATTGTTATGTATGTAAAATACATCATTAAATAAGAATTATCAGTCAAACATTTTTACTAATAAATAAAGTATCATTCGTTTCTATATTAAAAATAATGTTAATTTAAAATAATAATTTATAAAATAATAATTTATCAAGATATATAAAAAAAAGAGGAGATTAATTTTCTTTTTGTCAACCTGATGATTAAAAAACTTCTTTGATAAAAAAAATCTTCATCATGCTTAAAGAAGTAATCAAACTTATGCTTAAGGTATTTCATTATGCTTAAAGTAATCAAAAATAGTTTCAATCTAAAGATTCTGAAAATAATGAAAAATGAAACAATGTAGCTAAGCAACATGTGTTTAATAAGCGATAAAAATATATTTTAATATTATTAATACTGCAATTTATAGTTTGAATTATTGCACGAAATGATATTATCTTAAATATAATATAATAAGATTATAAGTTATATTATCCTCTTTTTTCATTGTGCTGAATAAAATATTTTCTTTGGCTTGAAAGTCAGTATGTCGTTTTACAAAGATTGATAACAGTTGCTTCAATTTTCTAATATGTATGCAGTAATCGTTAATACTATATACATATATTAATATTCATGTGTTAAAAATGTAAATTTCGTTCAGTAATTATTCGTTTCAATATAATATGTTTGTAAAAAGCTTATATGGATGGCAGAAATGCTTGTTCTTACATATTTGTTTGAATATTGAACACAGCTTATGAAATGGTAAAGTATATCTTTCATTCCTAATTTCCTTTGTTTATTGAATAAAATCTATAAAAATAAAATGGATAGTGAGAATAATATTCCTTCATCAAAAATAACTTACAATTGGTTTCAAAAATATCTCCTGAGTATTTTACACTTAATTTCTTAATTTCTTCTATATGTATAATATTCCAATACTATTTCTGAAATAAAAGGCTTGAATGAAAAGTTTTCATCAAGACTTAAATGTATTACCATAAACGTGATATGAAATTAACATTAATTATTAATATTAAATTAAAATTTATTTTTTCCAGTAACTCCAGAGAGCATTATCATCCCGATAGTATCATGCATACTCGGATTTCCATTACTGGCCCTTATGGTCATCTGTTGCTTAAGAAGAAGAGCAAAGTTAGCGAGAGAACGTGCACGAAGAAGAAATTGTGATCTAGATCATGGAGCCCTTAGTCTCGTTCGTTTTAGCCCTGTTCATCGTTTAGGTAAATTAAACATCTTCTTCTTTTATTTTTTATTTTAATACATGTTATCTAAAAAAAAGATGCAATTTATTTAAATTAATTTCATTTAAATTATTTCATCATATTAACACACTACATTAGATTTAAGATTTAATATTAAGTCTTAAACATATAAACTTAAAAGCCATGTTTTCCTACGTTTTGTACAACAAAAACGGATTGAGGTCACAAAACATTTGTGTTCAACCCCAAACCGCTACTTCCGCTCGCTTTTTCACCTAGAAACGCTGCACTGTACTTACACATGTATATTCAAATATATACTTGCGTATATATATATGTATGTATTCACAGTCATATACTTTTCTAAACGAAGTGTACGTGTACATATACACATGCATATTCAGACATATGGATGAACAGCCTAGAATATATATATATGTATAAATATAAAGAGAACGGAAGAGGCATTAAACCAGATTGAATGGTGGCCTGAATATTTCAGTTCATGCACAAATTTTAAGATACTTAAAATGCAGATGTTCACACGATTTTTTTTATCTTAATGAAAACGTTTAATCCATAAGAAAGTATCGAAGAGAAATTAAATGATCAAAATAGAATAGACTTTTATTGGTTTTTCATAATTTTTAATTGCTCGTTCTATTTGAATTATTAATCCAATATTTTTTTTTTTTAATTTATACAATATATATGTATGTATATAAAAAAAAATTTGATTTGCTTATAAGACGAGATAGAGAATAAACCTATGATTTATGATGAACTAATGATTTATGGGTTTTCTTGTTATGTATTGTAAATATCGAGCTCGAAAAAATTCATATTATTATAGTCAATAAAAATTTTAATCATTTATTTTCGAAGATGTAGGTAATATTAAATTTGAAGTAATTATGAACATCATTTTTTTTAAAATCTATAATCTATACTTATACTTTATAATTTTTCAAATAAAAATCTCATCATCTACTTAATAATAAATCTCCTAAGCAAAAATATAATCCTAAAGTTTATTATGTACATATAATTATACATATTATGTATATTTGACATGCAATTGTAAATTTCATATTCGTATTGATTACAGTTGTATAATATTGATTTCTAAAGTTTTATTGTAAGAATGGTTGTTGCATATTGAAAACTTATCTCAATCACGAGTTTCAAATAAATTCTTTTCGTTTTATTGAAAAAAAAAGTTGTAAAAGAATATCGATGAGAAAAATTAAATTTAAAAGTAAAATTTATTTTAAAAAATGCTGTACAATTATATAAATGAAAAATAATTCACATTTATAAGACATAAAAGGATAATAAAATATTAAAGAAATTATTCTTTATAAAACATAAAGAATTTATAAAACATTAAAGAATAATAATAATAAGCAAGCGAAGAATTATGCAAATTAATTGTTTAATTATGTATATTACTTTACTCACTTAATTTGTATATCTTATGCATACACTCTAACAATCTATTTAATTATTTTCTTATGAATTATCTATTTAATTACGCTGCTAATTCTAATTGAAAATGATTTACATAATGAGATCTAATTTAACTATCTATTGAATTTATCTATCTATTAAGAATTTAATATCGTATGGAACATGTTTTTAAACTTTGTGAATCTTCTATAATCTTAAGATAATATATACACTCAAATCTCTTTTTATACACGTAAAAAACTGTGCAAAAGTTAATCATGTAAAAAAATATCGTATAAAAAAAAAAGACTAGGTATATTCTGTTGTCCTTAAAAAAAATCAGAAATAATTTAAAATTATTTTATTTAAAATTTGATATACATAAGAATTTAATAATTTCTTTAAATTTCTACTTAAAAATTTTCAATATAAAAATAATGAGACATTAATAAAAAGACACTATATACTATATCTATTCTATGTCTCATCTAAAATGTAATTGACTAAATGCGGTTCTAATGTAATAAATCATGTTTTTGTTATTTAATTTAATTCTAAAATATGACAAATGAACGATTTCATTACATATTGTAATTATTTATTATTATAATAAATAGGACACAAAAATTAAAATTTTAATCAAAACAGATTTTAGACAAGAATATGAAAAAAAAATATTTAATATAATAAAAAAATATTTTATATAAATAATAAAAATCATAAGATTAACTGCAATATTTTAGTCAATTAATTCTTTCAAAATTTGTTAAATTGAAATACATATTCCTCCTTTTATTATCCCGTCAAGTGCAGCATCTAAAGAGGATTTAGGTAAAATTCTTTATTAGTCTAATTGTTGTTTAACTTCTCTAGAGATTTTAGAATTATATATATATGTATATGAAGCAACCAATATTTTTTTTATATAATGCATAATCATTTGCCGTTGCCGCTAGTATTGCTGCATATTTAACATGGAATTTAATTGAGATTATGCTAAAAATTAGACACGAATGAAAATGAAAAAAATAATTGTGAAATTATTTAGTTATAATTAAGATCTGCCATTTAAAGTGCATTTGAATAATATTTTATCATGGATATTATCTCACAGCAGCTTCAATGCAATTAACAAAATCATAAAAATAATAAAAATTGAGCGATTTTATGCAAAGATATATACAGCTTGGTTACATTTTTATTTTCCATCCAAACGCATGTACACTTATATACTATCATAACATTATCATAATCGCATGACTTTAAACGATTTGCTGCATAAGCCTATAACGTATGTTTAGCATTTCTTATAAAAACTTTATTTTAATAAATATCTAATTCAAATTAACAGTTAAAATTACGCATTTTAATATTAAAATGCATTTAATAAACATTAATTCTTATCATTAGTAATTTAATGCGCTTTTATTTTTACAAAAGATTATATTTACTCGGTAGATGAAATTTTCCATGCAATCAAAAACTTTTATTAATATCACAGTATAATAATATTCACATTTGTGTAATAGCTGGAATTGATCGTCCAACAAGAGCAGTTTCGTTGCGAAGTGATCGAGGATCTAGAGCTTTCCCATCATTAGAACTAGACACGGTGGTCGAAGAACGATCGGATCCTGAACAAAGTACTGCATTGGAATTGAGTAGTCCAGATTAGCATTCAGTTTTGGTACCGCCTAGGTAAGATTCTTATTCTTTATATGTATTATATATTGTAATAAAAACATTTCATTTTTATTTCTATAAACTAAACGAGAGAAAAAAGAATTACATATATTTTTTATGACAAAAGCACTAACAATAAAGTTTGTTCTTCATTGATTTGTCTTCAGAAAATTTTTAAAATTTTTACATTATTGATACGATATCTTTGTTTCAAATTGTTATCTTTTGAATATATATTATGTATCATAAATTATTTATATGAAAAAAAGATATGAAAATAAAAATTGTTTATTATTATTTGCAGGTCTCCTCGACCATCGAAATCGGTACCAGTACCAGTAGATCATAGCCCTTTATGGACAGCATTAACACACGCTAATGCTGTATCTTCAGCTCTTGGAGATACCTAGCAGGAAGTTGAAGAGGGTGGTTACATCGAAGCTCTCGTTCTTGATTTACCTATAATCTACTAAAAAACTTATAATAAAATAAACATTTTGTGAAATTAGCAAAAAGTATGAGATTGATCTCATTTAATTTCAAAAAACTGAGAAATTATAAAATTTATCATAAAAAGTGCCGCAATATTAAATAACATTAAGTATAAAGAGACAATTATATAATAGAAATCTTATCTTTACAAAGAAATTTTGCACATATACTTATTCAAAATTAATGAGTAAATTTTATACTGATAAATTGTGCAACATTCTATTGACAGATCGCTTTTTACATCATGAAAAATTCCTAATAATGTACACTGTGTTATATTAGTGTAAATAAGAATTTGTTAATATAATGTACAAATACAAATACAAGTCATAATGTGTAAATAAATGCTTAAAAACCATCGTACTGTCTGTATAACACTACATTCAATTTTTATGAAATTCATGTTATAACATATACATATTAAAATTAATTTTCATATTATTATTATTAAATAACAATGTAGATATATCACATAAATAAGATAATTATGTATAATAAAATCTGATTTATGTAAAAATAATTCTATTGTATTCTGACGCGAATAACATTATATATTAGTAAAAAATTGTTCTAATGATTATGCAAATAATATTTATGCATATTTTTGACTGCCTTCGATATAAAAAATTAATCAAATTATGGAAATAAAATTGAAAATGATTTATATATAATTTTTTATGTCATATTTAAAATCCAGGTATTATTCGTCCCTTTTTGGCTGCTTTTTTTAATTTATTTATCTTCTTTTCTTTCTTTCTTTTCATAATATTATCTTGTCGTTTTTCTTGCCTTTCTCGAATTCCTTTCTGCACATTTTCTAATCTAGATTCCCATTTTTTAGCACTCCGTTTTTTTTTATCATCTTTTCTTTTCAATGTTTTTTTAAGTAAATCTGGATCATTTTTCACCTATCGAAAATATATGTATAGACATAATATTAAATATTTTAATAATTATTTATTCAAGTATTTCTTTGTTACCTTTTCACCACTAGCTTTTGCTAAAACAGACTTCCATATATCTTTTTCTTTAATTTCTTCTATTTTTTCCTTTTCACCTAATTGTTCCATTTCTTTTAACTTTTCTTGTTTTTGTTTCACCTCGAGTAGCATTTTCTTTGCATCTTTCTTAGGTGGTTTCTTTTTTGTTCCAATTTCAGAAAAATCAAATTTGCTAAATACCATCTTACCTTCTGAATTAAACACTGGTTTTGGTCGTGGAATCTTTGGTATTTCATTATCTTCTTTTTTGATTTTAGATAAATCGGTTATGTTTTGCTCTATTTTTACTAAATTTTTTTGCATTATTCGTTCTTTTTTCTTCGACATCTTTTTTATTTTAGTTTTCAAATTCTTTTTTAATTGCTTTTCTTTATATCCTAATCGTTTAACATTCTTTAATCCTTCCAATTTAGCATGCAATTCTTCAAATGTATGTGCTCTTTTTGCTTTTCCAATTAAATTTGGAAAGATATTGTCTATAAAAAAATAGAAAACAGAAAATTTATGTATAATAAATTTAAAGCAAGCTTAATTAGGTAAATTAGATTATTTTTTAAAAGTAATAGAAACCTCCTGATATTTTTTTTTTATTATATGTCACTAATTTATCTTTCTCATCTGAAACTAAAAAAAATTTATTTTTTATTATTATTGCAAATTTTATAAATATTTATAAGATTATATTGTTTTTATATTTATACCTAGCTCAGACATAGGCAATGGCATTTTAGTAAATATGTTCAAAATAAATTCATTTTCTTGTAGCAATAATTGTTTCACATAATTTTTATCAAATGAATTTGACATTTTTAACTGCATACTTCTAGAACACACACGTACGTTATGTTAGAATATAAATTTAATATCACGAAATAAACTACAAGCTACAAACACACTCTTAACTTTTAAAAACTATATAGGTTAGAAATTACAATCTAATGCGCAAACTCAAATATAGGATTTTATAAATTTATCAAAAATAATTTTACAATTCTATATACATTTCTGTTTATTATAAGGTACAAAAAGTATAAATTTTATTTTAAAAAGATTTAAATTAAAATAAATTAATTATTCATAAATATATATTATAAAATTTTTATTGTAAAAAAATACATAAATTTTGTAAATTTTATACAAAAAATAACATCATTGTAAATAAATTATTTACATTTGTGAATTATACAAATAATGAATAACTTAAATTGTAAAGAATATTTTTATGCAAGCGTACAAAAATTATTAATATTTCATATATTATATATTGATATTGTTTCGTGATTTAATGTGATTTAAAAAATTATTATTGGTTATGAATGCTAAAGAAATATCAAAGAAAATAATAATTCACATATATTTGTATAATACAAAAATAATATTGTAAATTTATTTCAATATTTATTAAGTGATTAATCGTAAAATAAAAAAAAAAAATATATATATATATATATGTGTTCATCATTAAAGCGCTTCTTCTATCAATTTCTCAGATGTCAAAACAATAAGATATTTCCCATGTAGAGAATATTTATCAAATTCTTTCATTGTTGAATATGCTTCTTCATATGTTTTGAAATAAACATGACAATATAATATTCTAGTATTTGGTGTTGTCATCATAAGTGATACTGATATTGGATTATATTTTTCAAAAAGATGTAATATATAATGTATACTTATATTTGGATGTATATTAGCTACAATTACTTCTTGTGTCGGAATAACCTTTGTTGATGATGAAGGAACTTTAATATTGTGTGATTTATATTTTTTGTCAATAGATACCAATGATGGAATTTCCGTTTCATTAAACGGAATTTCTTCCAATCTATTCAAATTTTCATTAGTAGCTTCTGATGAAATTGAAGTACTTGATGCAGTTTTTCGTAAATTTTTAAGTTTTAAAAGGTGCCTTAAGGATGATATTGATGTAGATTTTTTATTTTCTTCAATTTTTATATCATCATTAAAATTATCTTTCATAGATATTGATTCTGATATATTAGAATCAGACTGATTGCATTTTTCTTGAATCTTTTTTGCATATAAATCATTGCTATTGATATTGTTGTTTTTGATGTTGTTATCTGAATTATTTACAGTAAAATTTTGTTTAAATGCTTTCTTATTTTCATTGTATGATTTTCTTTTTACATTAACAAATTTTTTAGTTATGTGTGGTAAAATTTTAATAAATTTATGATTCTTAAAAGCTTCAATACATTGTTTTGCATCTTCAGCCGTTTCTAATTTTACAAAACATAATCCATTAGGTTGACCACGATCATCTGCGGATAAAACTTTACCAAACGAGGAAAATATAGTGTTAACCTCTTTCATAGTTAATCCTTTGTTATTAGGAAAATGTATAACATAACTTCCATCTCCTCTCCGATCGTAATATTTTTCATAATCCATTCTTATTTTTAAAATATATATACAATAAATAATAAGCAATGATTTAAAGTATAAAGTAATTTGAATACGATAATCTTTTTTCTACACGTATACACTATATTAAACTTATATATTAAAAAATATTGTGTTAATTTTTATATATTAATCTCAAAATAATCTCAAAATATGTAATACTATATAAATATATTATAATATAAAGCACAATTGTATTATTCGTGCACGTTTTAAAATTTGAACTAACTTGTATACAATCTATAAATTTTGAGAATAAAACCGAACATAGAATAATACATTCTACATAGAAACGTATATGGATGTACATTTTGTAACCTTTAAATTTATAATTTGTACATATTCATATATGAAATATTTATTAAAGAATAATAAAAAAAATATCTTTTGAATTTTAATAATAATATTAAAAATATATAAATATAAATATGATTAAATATTATATTTTAATATTCGAGTCTTCCCGCTTTATAAAAATGGCCGACTATGTAGCCATATTTTTACAATGGACTTGCGCATTCTCGTCTTCATAATTTACATTTCCAAGTACGAAGTACCTTCATTTTATTTGTACGGTATTCAATAAGACAAAAGTTCGATCAAATTTTTTAGTTTTGTTTAATTTTTTTTATAAAATTGTATATAATAATATTGTAAATGTTCATGATTAAATATTAGTGGTGATGAAAAAAAAAAGAAGTTGAAGTAATGGGCGGAGTTTGCGCCTGTTGAAATACGAGGTAAAAAACGTTGTTTTACGAAAACATATATTTTTGATATAATATTTTGGAATAATATTCCAAAGGATCAGTTTCAAGGTATTTTTATGAAGCTTTGTAAAAATTTGAAGTTCACGGATACAGGTTAAGCGAACAGGATTAGGAAAAGCGGTGAAATCGCATCATAAATAAAATGGATGCGCACGCGGATAATAATACACAAGAGCAAGTGAGAAAAGGGCTTTAGGTAGAAAAAGAAGGAAATGAATCAGCCATTCTGATTGGTCGAGGCGGCTATTATGGCCGCCGATTGGCGCACGCATGTACGCACACCAAGCTTTGATGTATACACGAACGCACGAACACGTGCGTGTATCAGGAGCGTAGCAGTCGCTCGCGGCCGAGAAGAGTGAAAAGAGCGACAGAAACGGTCGGTCCGCGCGTTGCCTTGTAAGGCGGAGAGTTGGTGTGTGACGTCCGTGCGCGGATGGCTCGAAGAACGCCGATTTTCCTCAGCTTATACAAGTATCCTTGCTGAGCAGAGGAAAGAACAAGTGAAAGGAGAGTGCGGGCCGGGCGCGACGCCGACCGTCGACATAACCACGTATACGTAAAATCCGACAATCCGTCAAGTTTAAAGCTGCCGAAGGCACCATTTTCATCATCTCTATAGTGTGTATAGCAAACTAGAAACTGTTATTAGACGTAATGTGAGTGTTCTTGAGCAAGGAAGGAAATATATAATAGTGAGAAAGGTAATGAACAAAAGGCAAGCAGGAATAAAAACGAAGGGCATCGAGAGAGATAGAAACAGCAAGAAAAGAGCAAAAAGAAAAAGTGAAAGAGTGAACAAGCGAATAAGCAAGCGAGAGAAAGAGAGGGAATGAGGCCGGGAAAGAGGAGCAAGAGCAAGTTAAAACGCCAAACGATACGTAAGAGACAAAGGCCACGGCGGCATAACCTCCAAGTCAAGCGTACGGCGTATTATAGGGATTTCTTATTCTTATGAATTGCTTCATTTTTTCGAGGATTTCGATACATTATTCGTGTAAAATGATATTTTTGCAAGTGCATTATTATTTTCTCTGGCTTCCATATGAAATGTCGCACGAGTGAGAGAGAGAGAGAGAGAGAGAGAGAGAGAGAGAGAGAGAGAGAGAGAGAGAGAGAGATAAAGCACGTGCGTGAAACATATTTTCCTCGAGATACAGGAATCATCATTGTGGCGCTGGCAACGTGAGCGGAAGGTCGGAAAAGAAAAAAAGAAAGAAGAGAACGTTTCATCCTGAGCCTGTTAGTGAACTATCAGGCTTTCTAGTAGGCTCATAATTTAGACATTGCTATTATAAAATTAAATTAACGTTCTATATGTAAAAATGGATGAATTCACGAGGATTCGCAAGAAAATGTTTGGCATAACGTTCTTTAGTGGCGAGAACAGAAAAGATTGTTACAATATTTTTCTACTGTAGTGGTTAACGATATCCGAATTATTTCGGCATCTAATTCTTTCTTCCATTGCTATGGCCTTTGTCTCTTACGTATCATTTTAACTTGTTCTCGCTCCCTTTTTTTCCTCTTTTCTTCTCTTGCTTTTTGTTCTTCCCTCTTTTCTTGCTGTTTATTTCATTCTCAATGCCCTTTGTTATTTTTTTTTTTTTATCATGATTAAGTTTTTATCAATCATAAAGTGAAAGAACGGGACGTTTGTTTGTACAGTCGTGTTTTTCCGCATCATCTGGTATACGATATACATCCGCGAGTGTTGTGTGAACAAATTCACTCTTGCGACGGAAACAAAAAAGAAGGAAAGAAACGGCGACGAATAATATTCTTAGTGCTGTAGTCTACAGTTGATGGATGAAACTAGCAGAATGCTGCAACACGGAGGATCAGGTGTGGGTCTGATGGGAGGAAATCAGGGTCAGGGGGCCCAAAATACTGCCGGATATGGTAGTATGGGACCTGTGGATGGAACTGCAACACAAGGTCCGGATCAGGCTGTTGAGGCTAGAAAACAGGATATCAGTGAGATTTTGCAACAAATTATGAATATCACCGATCAAAGCTTGGACGAGGCACAAGCGAGGTTGGTCCCGTTCCTGATTCAGCCGCCATTTTTTTTTAATATTTTAAATTTTATCATTACTTTTATAATTATTTTATATCACTTTTTGCTTTTTTAAATATTTTCTTATTATATTGGAATATTAATCTCATGGAAATATATTTGAGTTTTTTTTTTTCTAAGTCATTAAAATATTTGCTAAATATAAAAAATAATCATGAGTACAGGTTATGTTCGTTATTTTGAATCTTATGTGACGATTTTAAAATGTGATGATTATTTTTATAATGTCTCTTTATCATTTTATAACTTGATAAACTATTAAATGACGAATATATATGTACTAGATGACAAATTGTATATAGACTTCCAAATATGCGATAAGAGTTTATCTTCACACTATTAGTATACGATTAAGTTACGATATAAGTATAAGCTAAAACGTCATAGTATTTTAAAATCCATCTCGCTAAAATAGATATTGTATAATATAATATCTAATAAACTTTTAATCGAATATAATTTAATTAATAATTATCATTATTATTATTATTATTATCTTTTTTTTCTTTTTCCAGAAAACATACTTTAAACTGTCACAGAATGAAGCCAGCCCTGTTTTCAGTTTTGTGTGAAATTAAAGAGAAAACAGGTGAGTCTCTATTTTTCACTATTCCTTCTTGTTCTTTACAATTTGTGTCTTTACAAGGACACAAATATTAATACTTATCGATATTTATATTTGTAGAATATTAAGATAAGTATTGATTTATTGATACACGGTAAATAATCGCGACTCAAGACAAAGTTGCTTTTATTATTGCTTTTATTATTCGTGACTTTCATTTTAATGTAATCCACAATAATCTAGTTTTTTATTAGCAATTACCATCTATCTAAAATCACTGTAAATAATTGCCGATTAAATAGATACCACCATCACACAAAGATAAAAGAACACTTCGTAAAAGTACGGACGATCACCTCGTAACTCCCGCGCCCATTCTGATACTTCGCATGTGAGTTCTAAACAATTCGAGAAATTCCTAGAAAGAGATCCCTATCTAGATGAGAGGAGAGAGAGACTGTTGATACATTTTCGGTGTGTGGTGCAGTGTCGTCTACCCTGCAGGGTCGACCCCTGCGCCCATTCGAAACTCGTAAACATAATTTTTATGCGATGTTTGGATTACTTTTACGCGCGGATCAAGAGACCACGAAACGCGCAATTATTTTTGGGGTACGAGGGGTGGCTGGCTTGGCCCGAACTTCGGGGGATGGGAAAGGAGTGAGGAGGAGGGAGGATTGAGGTAGAGAAAGAGGTGTGTGGGTCGGCTACCCCAAAAGTAGTTCTGCCTGGTCGTTTGATGGGGGTGGTGGGGCCACCACGCCCCTCATGCTAAGCCACCCTCTTTCACGTCGTTCCTCTATAAGTATATGTGTACATCTACACATTCCCTCTCTCTCTCTCTC